TTGTATTGCTAATTTAGTAATATAATTGACAGATTTTTGTGATATAATTTGTATTATTGCAATTATTTCAATTTGAAATTGGTCGAACAAATGAAAATTTAATGGATAATTAAAAAAATATTCAATTAGTTGCAAATTGGATGCCTAATTAATTACAAATTAGTTACAATCTGCTAATATTAATTATTATTATTATTAAGAAAAATTTCTTTCATCGTATTGATAGCATTATATAGTTCATGGATAATCATTAATCTAATGATTGTACTTTCTTTTTAATATTTTTTTTTCTTTTTAATGTTTATATTTATGTTAATGTTTGTGCTTATGTTCATGTTAATGTTAATGTTAATGTTAATGTTAATGTTAATATTAATATTAATATTAATATTAATATTAATAATGTCAATGTTAATATTAATGTTAATATTAATACTAATGTTAATGTTAATGTTAATATTAATACTAATGTTAATGTTAATGTTAGTGTTAATATTAATATTTATGTTTAGTAATGATGATTTTGCGATTCTTTTATTTCTTTCTTCATATTAAAATTTTTTTAACTCTTTTCGATAATTGCATTATTATATTGTTATGATATCAATGATTGTATTTAATCACATTAATTGCTAATCTCACTGTTAATTGTGGTAATTAAATTTTTTCATAATAAATATTGCAGAAATATTCGTATTGATTAAATTTAAATATTCTTTAATTAATAATTAATACTTATATATTGTTATCCAGTATAGAAGTACTATGCTATTAATACTTTTTTTCCTTTTTTTTATCATCAATTTTACAATATATTTGAAATTTGGGCCAAAATTCTAAATTTTTTTTTGATTTCTTTTTTTTGTATTGTTGAAAAATTTCCGAATTGATCGGGCGATTATTTTCATCATTTGATAAATGCATTATAATATGTATACTTGGAAGATTTTATCGTTTTTTTTCTGGTAAAAATTTGTTAAATATATATAAATTTTATTTTGCTAAAATAGTTTATATAATTTTTGAAGTTTTAATCGTTATCAAAAAAAAAAAGGAAAGGTCAAATCAAATGATGCAAATTTTGACATATATTCATCTGGAAAAATAATCTTTTATACAAAAATTATACCTTTTTCATTTGAAATATCATTTTAGTCTTATCTTTATTTCTATCATTTTAATTAATATAATTATTTTAATTACTAGTTTAGTATTTAATATTATTCTGAAATATGTGCAATCATATTAAAATATATCATATCTGCAAAACTTTTCATCTGTTTTTTCTTTCTTTTTTTTCCGTTTTTCCCAAAATTGATAATGCATTAAATATCGGATAGAAGTAATCAATTACCAAATAACTTATAATGATCTCATTGAAATGCTTAATCATAAGATTTCTCTTTCTCTCTCTCTCTCTCTTTCTCCAGCTTTCGGAATATTAATACGGATAGAAATAATTTCCAATTATAAATCTGACATTGATTGATATAATTCTGATGGTGATAATCTTATGATGATGATAATGATAATGTTTGACATTGTTCAATTATCATTATTTCGTGCTTTTTTTCCTTTTTTTAATTCCAAAATGATATTATTATTATTATTATTTTCTTTTGATATTAATTATTATCATTAAATTGTTTGAAAAATTTTCCTTAACTAATATATCTTTTCCTTATTTCTTTCAAGTTTATTTTTTTTTTTAAACGAGTAGCAATTTCATGACACTCTTTTTTTTTTGCGATCGTAAAATTTCAAAAAGAAAAAAAAAACAAAAGGATGAAAAAATATGTGTTAAAATTTTCAAAATTATGGTATATTTCTTGTTTTGCTCTTATTAATTGAAAAATTACAGTACCAGTAAAGAGTATTAGTTTGTTTTTTCTTAGTTGACATCTTTTTTTTCCTTTGGTAAATAGTCTTGTCTTGTATTATAGTCTTATATCACATCAACTAATGATGACTTCTTTTTCAAGTAGGTACATTAAGTGAAAATTAGAATTGAAATACTTTATACTGTTTGACAAATGCTACCGTATAACTAGCAACTCCTCTAAAAATAAGGCTACAGTATGGAAGGGAATATTTTATGCTAAATATTTTTGATTGAATATTATATGAAGCAGAAAAAAAATGAAAAAAAGAAGTGATGATAATAATTTAATTTTGCAATTTTATGATAATAATTAATGATAATAATTTAAAAAATGATGATAATAATGATAATAATTTTAGTATTTGTAATTATGCTATTTGTTTAAATGAAATTTTTAAAAGGTTTATTTCAAATCGCATTTTTTTTTGTTTTTGCTATGTTATCAATCGTTTCGATTTTTTGATTCATTGTATATTTGATTTGATAAATTATTTAATTTTGAATTATTTCAATTCATTTCATATTTATTTTAATGTTATTAAAGATTCCATTAATTTTAATTCCTGTTTGTTTCCTTTTTTTTTTCAAATCTTTTAAAAATGAAAAAAAAAGAAACTTTTCTTAAAATAGCAAATATTTGTTTTACAAAAAAAAATATTCTTGATATGGATAAATTTTATTTTTTTATAAAAAAAGTTTCATTATTATGACAAATTTTGTTCTGCAAAAAGTTTCTTGCCATGATAGATTATCTTCTTATCATTGATTTTAATCATTTTATCTAAAATCTTCCTTTTAAAAAATGATTGAAAAAAAAAAGATATTTACTGATAAAGAAAGAGATACGAGAAACCATGATAATATACTTCTTTTGTTTAAAAAAGAAAAAAAAAGAAACGGAGAAATAGGAACGATTGTTATCTCATTGTTGATTTCTTTTCGTGTAATTTGCATATTTTGAAATTCCAATCAAACAATTTCTTTTTCTTTTTTCTAAGTTCATTGTCACATCTTGCAATTTCTTTTCTTACTCTGTTTCATCATTGATCCTATTAGTATCGTTATTATCGTTATCGTTGTAACAAGTGGTCATAATAATGGCAATGATAATAATAGTGATAATGATGATGATAGTAGTTGTTGTTAATAAGGATAGTAATTAGAAATGTAATAATAATATAGGGAAATTCTTGTCTATTTGTTATTATCAATAAAAAAAAAAGTTTTTCTGTCTTGCTGTAAGCTATATATGAAAACAGAATTTGTGGATTGTATAGGCGGAGAAAGATTTGAATTTAAAATTTAATTTAAATCATTTTTACGAGGAATATTTCGTAGAGGAAATAAAAAAAAAAAAAAGAAAAATCCAAGGAGGAGGAAAAGAAGGAGAAGGAGGAGAAGGAGGAAAACTGAATGGTGAATGAAAAGGAGAGATTTCCGGTTTTTCTGTTTGATAAAATTTACCGGATGTAGTAATGTCTTGCTTTAGCAATGTATATATATATATATGTATATGTAGTAATCGTTTTTCCATTCATTAATTATATCATTTTTATGTGATAATTAATGATTTTAATTAGTTATTTCAGAAAAAAAAACATCACGTAATTATAATATTAATTAATTTTTGGAATAATTTAAATTTTATAATTTAGGGCGGAAGGTTGGTAGCATTAGAAAGATTGAAAGAAAAGGACGAAAAAATTTGAATCGATAAAGTAATGACAAGTAACATAACTGTAACTACAGCAACAACAATAATACCTTCTGAACGCCGTTCCAAGAGACCCTCAACCCGACCCGCACTCCAAATTTATCGTCCTCCTGGTAAATTTCTTTTCAAAATTTTTATTATTTTATTTTATTCTATTCTTTTTTCTCTTTGTTTAATAGCTAAAAATAATTTTGTTAAATAATTTTTATTCTTTAAACTTGATATATTTAATTTTAAAATAATTTTTTTTAAGTTTGATATATTTAATTTCTAATATAATTTTTTCTTCAAATTTAATATAATTGATTCAGGAAACTTTATTGGGTTTTTAAAATGTTGAAAAAAAAACTTTTTTTTGTTTTTTTAATTATTAAATTTGTCGTGTATGTCTGTTCGTGTGTCTGTGTATATATGTATGTGTGTGTATCTGTGTATGTGTGTATGTGTGTGTGTGTATGTATATATGTGTATATATATACACTGAAAATGAAGTAATCAAATTTTTAATTTTTGAATTTTGGAATGTTATGATTGCCCATATAAACCAACAATATACATTGATGTAGAAATTCCAAAAGATTTATTCATAGTAACCAAATAAATTTAAGTATTATTGTCCAGCATTTGAACTTTTTCTTTTTTTTATTTCCTTTTTTTATATCACTGATAAGATATACGTTTGATAAAATGGAAGATATTGCAATTATTGTGACTTATTTTGATTAAATATAAATCAAAAATGCCTAAACTCACTATTTCATTATTCTCAAATTTGGAATTGATTTTAAAATCTCGAAGTTTCTATTTCTCAAATCTTTCCAAAAAATGATAAAAATTAATTATAAGGGTATTTTGAAAAAAAAGGAAAAAGTTTATGATTAATACAATTTCAACCATGAAAAATTTGCTTTATGTTTTATAATAATAATTAGTGAACGGCGATAATTTCTCCTTCCACTAATTATTGCTAATTATTATTAAAAAAAAATTCTAAATGAATTAATTAAAATAAGAATGTTTTTCGTCACCCATGCTTGTTAATTAAATAATTATTATCTTTTCTCTCTTTTCAAAATTTTTAAACTCTGAAAAAAGTTGAAATTTATCAAGATTTCAATTCTTTTCAGAGTTTTTTTTTTTAAATTTTTCGAATTGCATTGAAATTATATAAACAAATATGCTTTGAAAAGGGAAAAAAATTTTTTCCTTTTTATTCGAAAAATTGAAATTTGATTTAAACATAATTTATTCATTATTGTTTTTCATTTTTTTTCTTCATAATTTTTAATTAAAATTTATTTAACATCCCATTTCTTTTTTTTTTTGTAATTTTAATGAAAAATTATCTTTAATATGATCCCGTTTTTCGTTCATTATTTTATCAAATGATTAGTTTACACAGCGATGATACCAACTGGTACATCACTAAAAGCTAACAGACCCGTTACATATGTGTACACACACACACACACACACACACACACACACACACACATCTATACTATTACTTTTTAGTTTTTT